ATTTTTAGTTACATGAGAAAATGAAACTTTATGTATTGTTTGCAGCTGAAGATAGTTTGTATCTTCAAGTATATTTTACAACTTACTGCTAACGAACTGCTGCAAACTATTATAAGACAGTTATAAGGACACAGCAACTGCATGTTTCTGTAGCTTATTTGACACGAATGGCTACTTGCTGGTCACTTCGAGTCTGGTTTGCTTCTACTGCCTTGTGCCATGGGAGATCTCGGTTTCCTACCTTGGTCCCTCTTGGGCTACTTCAGAAATCTCTCTGTTTATATATGCACTGCTTTTATGTCACAAAACACAAACCTGGACACTCAAATCTTTCAGTAGGTCTCTTATAAAGCGGCGACCAGATAATGTATGATAATGTACAATAGTCCTATTTCATACAATCAGCAAATTGAAAATGTAAACAAAAAATCCTCATGCAGAGGTCCCCGAGAAGATGTCTGTGGAAACATTGGCTGGATAAAGAAACCATCTGTCCCTTCAGGGAAGACACAGATGAAGTGACCTCTTTTTCATTTCTCTGTACCAGGCTATGAAGATTCTGAAGGGAAGGGAGCAGCGGGGGGTTGTGTAAGGGCTTTGGGAACTAGGGTGCCGGCCTGGACTGGCTAAGAGGAGACGTGAATACTTGCTCCCTTCAGCTCAGCCGAGAATTCTCTAGTCGTTGCCCTGAAAGCAGAGGGAAGGAGACAAGGGAATTAAACACTTGCCATTGACAGTAGGTAGATTAGGATGACTGTTTGGAAAGACCCAGTGCAGCAATTAAGAGTTGAAGAGCAACTAACCCAGTGCCCTAAAGCAGAGGTTCTCAGCCTCCGTGCCTATTAGAATCTCCCCAGGAGTCCTTTAAAGGAGCCACTGCAGGGATGCCTCTGGAGGTTTGAATTAATTGGTCAGGGGTTGAGCATCCACCTTTGTAAAAGTTCCCTGGGGATTCTAATGTGTAGCCACTGTGGCCGACCACTGTTTTAAGGGAAGCTTTTTCTATGGTATAATTACATTTAAGGCCACCTGTATTAATTTACTCAGTGTGAGGAAGAACCAATCTTTTCTGAATGCACTGCGCCATCTCTTTAATAATAAGTCGTTTTAAGAGCTAACATTTATTGAACGCTTTTTATGTGCCAGTTGTTACGTCGACCACTTCACATTCTTTTAATCTTTACAACATCTCTGAAGTGGATATTATTATCTGCATTGTACAAATGAGGAAACAGAGGCTCAGTGAGACCAAGAAATTTGCCTTAAATTATTTTAGGACAAATACATATATAAGTGGAAGTAATAACTTGCTCAAGGTCATGTAAGAAAGGAGACAGGATTCGAACCATGGCCTTTAGCTCTAATGCTGCCCCTGTTAATTGCTATTTCAATGAACACATTCAGCAAGTATTTATTGGAGATGAACCATATATGTGCCTGACACTACATTAGATGTTGGGAATGAGAATTTGAGCAAGGCAAAAATTCTGCCTTCTAATCTAAATAGAAAGAGAGCTAATTTCAAAACAGTGTGATCAGTACCATCAGGGTGACCAAATGCCCTTGCTTGCCAGGATGCTCTGGTTTTTGTACTAAAAGTCCCACGTTCTGGGGACTAAAAGTCCCAACTCTTCAGTCCTGGATGAACTGGGACCGTTGGGCACCCTAGCTGTTACACGTGAGCTGGGATAATTTTGCCTAGGATGGTGGGGGGAGGGGAGGGAGGTTGTGGAGAAGAGATTAGGAAAATCTTCATGAAAGAACTGCCTTATTTATAGAACAGTTAGAAATTTTTTAGGTGAAAAATGGAGGGGAGCGGGGTTGGGAAACTGGGACCACACTATGGAATTTGGACCCTAGACGCAGAGTTTACCTTAAAGGTTTTCTGTGAGGGAGCGTTAGGCTTAGTCAGCATTTGGGAAGACCACTGGCTAGGATAGCAGGGTGGGGGTTCACCTGAGGTCATGGCGGTCTGGAGTCTTAAGAGAACAGTTGGGAGGATGTTATAACACGAATTCGAGACCTGAGGATAGCTAGAGATACTGGGGCCAGGAGGAAGATGCACAAAGTTGAGGGGATTTTTTTTAAGTGATGAGAGACCAGAATGGGAAGTATGTGGCAGAGGATTGCAGGTGCAGGAACAAGAAGAGTCGACTCATGTCACAGTCCTTAGAGGAGGTGGAGGAGACAGGTCCGGAGTAAATCCGCAGGGGTGGTCTTGGACGGGAGGCTCATCCCTGCGCCCAGAGGTGAGCAGGGAAATAGATAGGCCAAGGAGGTGGAGGGGGCCGGAGCGGGGCTGGGAGGCAGCCTCAGTGGGGCATGGGTTTGGGATTCACACTGGAGGAATGAGAGAAGGGGCCACCTGGACCCATCTGAAAACTTAGCATTTCTATGTTCTTGTCCTTCAAAAAGCTCTGCTTGGGATTCACACATAAATTCTCGCAAATGTGGAAACCGAACTCGGGCCTTCTCTGGGAGGCGAGTGACACCAATTGTGGGAATCACAGTGGGACAGGCATGGAGGGGATGCCTGTGGACATGGGGGGGTGACTCTGCTTGGTACTGCAGACCCCGAAACACACAGAGACAACAGTTGGTGTGTTTTTATCAGGCAGGCTCCACGATTCCTATTTATTTTACAAACAGCCACCCAAAGAGTGAACTGCCCTGCTCCTCACCCTTAGCCTTTCTGGAGAAAAGAATCTGTAGTCTGTTTAGTTCTGCCCAGCTGGTCGTTGCCTCTTAAAACCTTCATTCTGAGAAGAAAGTGAATGAATGTGACTTTGATGTATATGAGACCTCCTGCAAAGGGAGCTGGACAGAGGGTCCACCCTTAGCTCAGAGGTTGGGCCCTCTTCACGAGATGCACTCGAAGACTTTCTGTCCTATTCAGAGCCCAAAAACCGTTTCTCTGTGGGTGGCACTGTTTGCTGCAGCGCGATTGGCTGGGAGGGCTCCGTCAGCCAATATTATGTCATCCCTGGTTGTTGGCGGGCTCTCCTGGGGGACACTCGAGACACTTTGATAGAAACATTTCTCTTTGGCAACAGCCTGCCATTTCCATGGCTGGACAATACTAAGCAGATGTGAAGTAGGCCAGCAGAGCAGAGGCTTGCCCTGGGGACAGAAGACCCGTCACACACGTGCAACCCTGGGCCAGCCAGGAACCTCATGAGCTCTCTTTTTCCTAGTCTTTGAACTAGAACCGCAATCTGAGCCTGACCTTCTTGCGTTGTGAGGATGAGTGTTAAGCAACTTGGAAAATTTTTGAGTCTTTTGGTGAATAACTGTCGAGTCCTTTGGAAGACATATTTCAGAGACAGATGAAATAATAAAGCAGAACTTAAATGTAGCGATGTTATTTTTGCAAGTCGAATAAACAGTTGTTTGCCATTCTTAGAGATCTGCTCGTTTAAATAAATAGTTCTTTCATTTGATGTTGGCAGAAAATTTTTAACCTAATTTTTTGAACAGGTAATAAACTCACACGATTCAATATTTTAAATGTATGAAAGGGTATAGTCATCATTCCTGCCCCTGTCCCAGCCATCCAGAGTCCCTCCCCATAGGTAGGGTGACCAAAGGGTCCTGGTTTTCCTGGGACTTTCTCATTTAGCACCAAAAGTCCTGTGTCCCGGGAAAAACCTCAGTCCCTAGCAGAGTGGTCCGTCCCCGTGTCATATGCGAACAACGACCAACGTTAGGAGTTTATTGTGCATCTGTTTGGAGATGATTTGACAAGAGCAGTCATAGTATTTTAAAAATCACAGGTGGTGAAATAAAGATCTCGTAAAAAGCTAGTGCATGATATTGGGGTGTAGGGAGCCCATACTAACACAGAAGCCCAAATCTCATTGTCTAACAATTGTTTTTTAGCCTTTTCACTATGGAATCGCTATCCTGCTGTAAAAGAGATCTCACTGTCAGGCCTGGGGAAGAGTCACATGAACATTGATAGTCTGCTGCCTGATTTCCCACAGCCATGGTTGACCAGACTCCATTATCCTTTTGTTTATAATTTATTTTCGTAGAGTTAAAAAAAGCGTTTGTGTACTGGGGGCTTGAATTCCGTAAATATGCTTATTTGTCAAGTTGTCTTTTAGAGTTCCCCATGCGAATGTAACTGATTTGGGAAAGCCCAGTTTCAGAGAAAGCATAACACTGCCCTTTATCAAGTGTGAGAAAGACATTGGAAGGCTTATATCAGGCTAAAAATAGACCTAGAACTCCGTGTATTTTAGCTCTGGGACTTTCACAAACTGCCTGGCAAACCGGCACATCATTATTTTATGGATCAGGCACCAGTGTTCCTTTTAAATGTTCTAGCTTCAAGCTATTTTACTTTCATGCAAAAAAAGATGAATTATTTATAAAAATGGGCATGAATATCATATGATAATACCCTCATTTCTGGCGGGGACTAAAATGAGCTGCAGCTGCTGCTCCGTCAGCTCCCCAGGAAAGCTGAGCAGGAGCAAGTAGAGGATGGCCCTTCACCCTTCCGAGGTGCTGATGCTGAGATGTGCAAGATGTTCTGGGAGGATGCTCAAGTCTCCCCTCTCTGGTTCATGCTCTCTCTTATCCTCCTCCTCTCCCCTCTTCTTTCCTTCCTTCCTTCCTTCTCCCCTCCTTCCTTCCCCCTCCCTCCCTCAGTCTCACTCTCTCTAGCAAACTTCAGCAAGCAAAGTAGGAGTTTCTAAACTCAATTGTGGGTTGGTTTTATGGAATATTTGCATACAAGTCATCTGACCTCTCTGAGCCTTGGTTTCTTCATCTGTTACAGGAGGTGATAATTGTGTTTTTCCCCTAGGCCTGTGTGGAGGATTAAATGAGATCTGTATATAAAGTACCTGACACTGCGTGAACACCCAATAAACACTAGCTGTTACGAAAGCCGGTCTCCTGGGAAACACATGGGTGAGGTGTGCATGTGGGCTGCGGAGGGAGGGACGAGAGCCAGAGGCCACGTTACCTGAGCACAGAGAGGTCGGGTAAGGTGACCCGCTTTTCCTGATTTGTCTCAGGCTAGCCTAGTTTTCTGATGGAAAGTCCTGCCTCCTGGGAACCCTCTCAGACTCAAGCACGCTGGGGGGCTGGTTGCTCGCCTGAGTAGGTCAAGTTGAATTTGCTCTCTTTCCTTCTTCCTCTTGTCTCAGCCAGAGATTGAATTTTAAACACGTGATGCAATTTGAGGGCAATTTAGAAGTTTACTCTTCCCATAGAAGTGATGGCAGTGGCATCTCTAGTCCAGCGATGGAGGAGGCAGTGGTGATGGCAGGGTCTATAGAACATCCGCTGGACAGTGCCACTGCTCAGTAGCTTCCCAATGGAACCCTCGCTAGGCCTCACTTTGGCTTTGGTTCTGGACGTCCAGCCAGACTCAGCCCCGCTTTTCCTGCCTGTTGGAATGGGAGTTACAGCCTGTGCGACACCTATTTCTTCCTTTCCTCCTCTCAGACAGAATCTGCCCTCTCCTTTAGTTTTCCTCAGAGGGCTGCCCACACCCTGGTCCCACAGTAGGTCCAGTCCGGTCAGTGCACAGCATTCCCCTTGTGGGCTACCACTCGAGGTGGACCTGTCACGCACAGAGATGGGCATCTTCCTCTCACCTGCTGTATGTGAACAGGAATGCATGCCAGCCTGATGTCACTGCAGCGATCTTGTGACCAGGAGGCCACCCTCCTAAGTAAGGTTGAAGCCACTGCTGCGGGAAGCAAAGATCCAAGGTCTCTGACATCATGAAGCTGCTGGATCACCCGCCTACCTGGGACTTCCTTTATGTGAAACAAGAGACTTCCTTTCCGTTTGAGTCAGTTCAAGTTGCATTTTCTGCTTCCCATAGCAGAAAGTATCCTAGTTGAGTTGCTTCTTTTTTACCCCCAAGCCTGATTCTCTAAGCTCAGCATTTTTCAAACTACATTTTAGTCTCAGGAACTTTTTGGTCTCTTTTTGATTTCTAGTCTTAAGAAAGATGAAGACCTCCAAGAGCTTTTGTTTCTGTGTGTGATACCTAATTGATATTTACTGCATAAGAAATTTAAAATGGAGACACCTTTAAAATATTTATTAATTTATTTAAAAACAAAATAGTATAAATACATTAACATGTTATATGAATAACATTGTTATGAAAAATAACTATAGTTTCCCAAAAAATTAGAAGAATGGCATTAACTTTTTTTTTCAAAACTATTTAATGTCTCACTTAATGAAAGATAGCTGGATTTTCATATCTGTTTTTGCATTCAACCCATTATGAGTTGTTTTAGTTGAAGTAAATGAAGACAGGCCAGCCTCGCCCAGTTGTGCTGTCAGAAAGAGGAGATTTTAAGAGCCTTTTCAGATAGTATGCATATTCTTCTTTGATGCCACCTCAAAACTTGCAAGTAGTAGTTTCTTTACAGATTAGTTGCAATGTGAAATCTAGAACAATATCAATGAACTTTTGTACTCTTTCATCAAAATCCATTTATTTTCACTTTAAATAGATTTTTTACTCACATGCGATTTGTAACATTGTGCGTTGGCCATTTGGGAAAACTTGCTGACTTATGCAGATCTTCCATATTTTGACACATTTTATTATATAATATTCAAACCCTACACTTTTAAGTATTACCACCACACTCATCAGAAAAGTCTTGAAGTCTTGGAAAGCAGTCCAGCTCATGGCAGAAAGCATCCAAATTGACAAGTTGTCTAAAAATTCAAATGTTTGCTTTGAAGATTTGAATTTTTCCATTGGCTAATACTGTCAGCTGTCATCCTTGAGGTGAAAGGCTCATTTTGTTCACTTTTGAGATGCCTACCAGAGACCAGGTCTGAAGTTTGTCAGGCATTCTTCAGATTAAAAATGGTATTCCATGAAAAAAGTGGCAAGTTCAGTTTGCAACTCTGAGGATTGCACATGTGCTTTTTCTTGTGACAGGTATCATACTTCAGTGTGCAGCAGAAGTGACTTATTCATACTTCCCATTTCATCATATAAAATATTAAAATAATCTGTTCTCGAGGGTCAAGATTTAATGATTTCGTGGATGTGATGTATCCGTGACATTCTAAAGTGAAACTGGCTCTGGTTTTTTTTCCTATAGTGCACGGCCGTAAAATACAGTTGTTATGAGTGTAGCCTATCTCGGTTGATGCTCACGCACCATCAGTTTTCATCACCATTGTTTTGACACCAACAGTGTCAGTGTGAACTTAGTGAAGATGCCGAGCAGTATCTTAGTACAATGGAATTTGTTTTGATTTTGCGGGTTTTCTGAAAGGATCTCAGGGACCCCAGGAGTCCACAGATCACACTTGGAGAACTTCTGCTCCAGCTTACAGTTGATTCTAGAAGCAACTCGGTGTGCTTCCGATAATCTCCCTTTTTTTTGAAATCAGCCAGATTTGATTTCTGTTGCCTGTCATCCATGTTCCATGTTAAAAAATGTCACTGTTTATGGTTGATTGAATTAAAATGTTTAAGGAACTCTAGGGAAATTTGTAAGTAAGTCCTTTGTTGTGATGATTTGCACAGGAAATAATCAGGAAGAATGAAAGATTCTAAAGTTTCACTTTTCTAAAAAAATCTATTATTTATGCTTTCTACATTCTTGGTGTTGTTAGTGTTACATAATCAGACGAATCTATGCCGGTCCATGAATTATGGTGAAATAAGAATAAGGGTATTAGTATTTTCTTCCTTTTTATGGATGCTTCCAGTGACTGACCATATTGAGCTAAATATTATTGTCCTCATCTTAGACATTAAGAAAAAAAAAAATTCTTGAATTTGGCCACTTAGCTTTCAAACCTCTCATCTTGGTTCAGAAGCCCCAAAGCCCAGTGCCTCTTTGCTCAACCATGCCAGAATTTCTGATAAGAACAAAAATCTGGACCCGCGGTGTCTGAGGTTTATGCCTTAGGGAGCAGTGCTACAAAATCATGGCTGTCAGAGCTGGTTCTTTAAGGAATTTCTTTATAGATGCGACCATAATGATATGATGGTGCTGGCTCTGTACCAAAGCAACATTTTTTGACATCCCATAAAGTGGTATTTTAGAATTGGAAGAGACTTGAATCCTGTGATCTGTCCAGACTTCTTACCACTGGAGCATGCTGGAATAGTCAATGTGCATTTCAAATAGTACTTCTTGGGTGATGACTTCTGATAACTTGATTATTGTTCATCCCATGAAATCAAAATATATCACATACAGTGGCAGGCATCGTCTTAATGGCCCGAATAATCTCCAGTTCCTGATATTCACACCCTTGTGTAATCCCTCCTTTTGAATGTGGATAAGATCTGTGATTTGCCTCTAAGCAACAGATTATAGCAAAGGTATTGGCATGTCACTTCTGTGATGGGTTCTCATAAGATAGTAACTTCTGTCTTGCTAGCAGATTCTCTTTTTTTGCCTTCTAGAGTTACACATTTTAATGAGGCCAGCTGCCATTTGGAAGAACCCACATGATAAGGAACTGAGTCTGTGGTCAACAGCCATCGGAGAACTGCGGCTCGCAGTCCAAGAGCCCATGAGGAGCTGAATCTGGCCAACAACCACTGATTGCGCTTACGAGCAGGTTCTTCCCCACTCCAGCCTTCAGGTGAGACTCCAGCCCCAGCTGGCACCTTGACTGTACCCTTGTGAGAGATCCTAAAGTAGAGGATGTAGTTAAACTATGCTTAGATTTCTGACCCACACAAATTGTGAGATAATATATGTTTGCTGTTTTAAGCTGTGAAGCTTTGGGGTAGTTCGTTAGGCAGCAATAGCTAACTAATATACTCTATTCTCTTTATCTGTCTCTTTCTCTAGCAAGTCCAGGAGTGAGGTGTTTAAGGTCAAAGTGTCCTTGTCACGTGTGTTTACCTGTTTACCCACCATTGGAGAGTTTCCTGCCAGGACCCCTTCTCTGGGGGAAGGGTGGGACCAGAGGCCCTCAGCGTACATAAGTCCTGGTGCTTCAGGAAAGTCCTCTGTATCCTCCCTCCAGTCCTACCTTTGGGCCTCACAGAATCTCCATAGTGGTCTTTCTTCACTTAAGCATCGTTTTAGCTTGCGAAGCAGAGGCAGCAAGCCAGTTACTCCCTGGGGTCTGAAACGTCAGCCTGGGAAGGAGACTCTGAATCCCCGCACTCCTGTCCAGACACAGGAAAGTTATGAATGCGGAAACACACGTCTGGACCCAGTTCATCAGCTGAGGTGCAAAAATGTCTGAATAGTTGAAGCCATGAGATCAACTCTTTTTGAAAGAGGGAACTTGAGATACATATATGCAGTGCATAGGGCACCAAGCAACCCACTTCACTCCAGTCTTCAGTTTCTCCATCTGATGTGGGGGTTTACCTCCAGGTCTCAGAGTCTTGGATTCTCAGTTTGGCACAATCTGGTTACTGAGAGCTGGCTTTCTGGGTCCTAAATCAACTGCTAAACGAGAATAACAGAAATACCTGGCCCCTAAGAGGTTCGTGGGATTAAATTAAATAAATATGAACTCTGGGCACAGAGCGCGCACAAAGAGTGAATCTGATCATTATCACTTCTTCAAGGGGTTCCTGGTACTCTGGGGAATTGGGGCTCGTGAAGAGCGGACCGCAGCCCGCACCGGCCCGGTGGCCTGCCCCGCCCACCTGGGGCCGCAGCCCGTCGAATGACTCCGTGCAACGTGTTGGCGGCGGTGGCGGCGGCGGCGCGGGCTCTTCCG